GCAAGGTGGTGAGAAGAGTTCAGAGGCTGAGTGAGGGCGCCGTAATTTGGGGTTAGAGAAACCATGAGTGCAGAAGAGTTTGGAAGGGCCTGCAGGTAGACAACTTAATTGGCTCTGCTGATTTCATTGGTGTTCCAGTAAAGAGGCCGCCATTAATTTCTGCAGAGCCCTAGCTGTGGTTTCAAGGAAAGGGATGGGCATTTGGCGCAGCAGTCAAGACACTGCTTGGGACGCCCTCATCCGATACCCGAGTGCCCGAGTTTGAGCCCCACTCCCGAGTCCTGCTCCCTGCCAGTGCGCGTCCTGGGGGGCAGCAGCGACAGCTCCAGCAGATGGGTCCCAGCCACCCACGTGGGAGAGCTGGATGGGGTTCCCTGCTCCTGGCTTCCGCCTGGGCCAGCCCCAGCTGCTGCAGGCATTTAGTGAGTGAACCCGCAGATGGAAGAGTGGCCTCTCTCTCTCTCTCTCTCCCTCCCACCCCCCGCTTCTGTGTATGTGTGTCTGCCTTTCAAATAAGTAAAAAACCTAAAAGGTAAAGCTAGAGGGGAGACACCACCAGATTGCTATTTCCTGCTCATTTGCAAAGCCTGTTCACCAGGGCAACAGGAAGGTGATCTCCCCTGGACGCTGCTTACCACCGGTGTTCCCGCCCCAAAACAGCCCTCGTCCGGAAACAAGGCCCCTGTCAATTGGGTTCTGGATGCGTCACTGGTCACTGTTCCATGTGGGCCTAGGGGTCTGAAGGAAGAGAGTGGATGGGGGAGAATTAGGACTTGCAGTCGGCCCATCTCCTGCCACTCTCTGCGTCCTCTCAAGAGTCCCATTGAGGCTGACAACCAGGGCTCCGTGGGTGACCCTGGCTCTGCATTGCTCAGCCACGTGGCTTGGGAAAGCTGCCTGACTCTCATTCCTGATCTGCAAAATGGGAAATCATAGCATTCACCTCGGGGGTCCTTGCCAGGATTAAATGTGCTGTGTTTGTTCCGTACTTCCGACTCTGCCTGCACATTGAGAAGCAAGGGAGGTGGTGGCTATTGTGAAATTCAGTTGGCGAACAGCTCCCTCTGCACATTCACCAAGTCTCTCTCACTGCCCCTGGGCAGGGCCACTTGGTGCCATGAGCAGAGGGGGTTACTGGGTGCTAGAGATCCGCCCCCCAGGCGGATGACTGTCTCATGTGGTCATCCCTTCTATTGTCAATTCTTAGTAACAGGAAGTCCCCAGTCCCCATGTGTAGCAGTGTGGGTGCACTTTGTCTTTGGCAGGCCTCATGAACCTGGCCCTCTCCTCTAGCAGACCCTCTTTCTTGTGCAACCTGCCTCTGAGCCCCATCCCAACACCCGGTGCTGCTAGCTTCTGCACACCCACTGTGGTCAAGCCTCCTGGGCGAGGAGAAACCCAGCCAGGAAAATAGGCTCGTGGCACCCGTGGCACCTGCCCCGGCCACCTTCTTCCTGTGCCCCAGCTCCAGGTTCCTCCACCAGATGCTGGGACTGCACAGCTTGGTCTGCTAGTGGCTGCTTGTGAGTTGCATTCCTGGCCTATGTCAGTGTGCTGTTGTCCTTGGGGTCACTCTTACGTGCCTTGGGGACACCAGGTTAAACACTAAGGAGAATTGTTACTTTGTGTGACTCCACAGGGTGGGTCCAGTTGGGCCCAGTTGGGTGGCTTTCAAAACCTCAGTCTTGTTTAGGGACTCCCTGACTGTCCCCTCACCACTGGCCATCCCGTGCCCAGCCAGGAGGGGGGCAACTGTCCATCCAGGACAGAAATAAGGAGGTACATGGGCTCTCACTGCAATGGGCTCTTCTCCCTCGGCCCTCCCTGGGCCAGCTGTGTCCCTCTGGGCGGGTCCCCTGGAGCTGGTTTGAGCCCCAGCACCCCACTGACTGGCACCTGGATGGAGAGGCTCCAACGCTCTGGCAGCTCTGGCCATTGTTAGAAACCTGTGACTCTCCTGAGACCGGCACTGGACAGGTGCTTCCTCCTGTGATCCAGGCAGGGAAATCGAGTCTGAGAGAGGCCACTCCCCGAAAGTGTGCTGCTGGGCAGACCTCAAGCCCAGGTAGGACAGTGTCAGGGAAGAGCAGGGTGCTCGGGTCCTCTGCCTACACCGGTGTGTGGCCCCTGTGGGGACGGCTGCACGGCTGATCTCCTGCCTTCTCGCCAGCCCCCAGCGCACCTCATTCCCCTACACCCCTGTTCTCCATTTCTCTGACCTCCCATGCATATCTTCATGGATTCCCCAAGCTTTCGGCAGACAGCATGGAGTAAGGGGTCAGGGGGGTGGTCAGTACTCCCTTGGTCAGTACTGCCCTTCTTCCCGGGGATTCAGACTGAACGAGCTAGGACAGTTTCATTCGGGTCCAGCACCAGCTACATCATCTGTTCTGGTTTGGTTTGAGCTCTGATGTTTCAGAGTTGTGTGGACTTGACACTGGCTTCTACTGGTTTGCTTAAAGATTGGGGTTGCAGACAGAGATTTTAAAAGGCTTTCTGACTAGGCCGCTCTATGGTCAGGTTTGGCCCTAACTGGTTGCAGCAGTGTGATGTTGAGTTGTCTCTAGTTGGTTCAACTCCAGTGCTAATCTGGCCTCAAGGACAGTCTCATCCCATGGACCCCAGAGGACGGGCCAGAACTGGGACATTCTTCTTCCTTCTGATTTGGTGACCAGGCCTTGCATAGCAGGTGCCACAGGCACATGGTGGGTGCCAGGGGTGCGTGGGTGCATAGTGGATACCTGGGCGCATGGTGGGTGCCTGGGGTGCGTGGGTGCATAGTGGATACCTGGGCACGTGGTGGGTGCCTGGGCATGTGGCAGGTGGCTGCTGCTGTTGGCACAGGGCAGCCAGGCTCCTGAGGCAAGGGGGCCGTGGGCCAGGCTGCAGGGAGGTCTGCTTCTGCGGCTCTGGAGCTAGGTGGCGCCTTGAGGGAGGCTCACATCTCCCTGGGGAGGAGCAGCCGTCACAGAGAGGGTGGCAGGGGCTCTGAGACCTCTGCTCTCCAGTGGGGACCCAGGCAGGAAGCTGAGCCTGAACCCCTCTTCTGGAGACAGAAAGCTGAGGACAAGCCCGCCGGAAGTCAGGACACTCAGTCTTCCCCCCAGCTCCCCTTGTAGCCCGGGACCCTTGGGGCCTGAAAGCTCCTCCATTTCCACTCAGGGTCTTACAGACACTGGGTGTGTCCACCTAAGGGAGAAGGCTGCTCTGAAAGCTAAGGAGAGCCCTTTTAACTCTGGGACCCTCTGCCAGCCAGAGACACTTGTTCTTCCTGCTTGGATCTCCGAGTAGCCTCAGCCCCTGTGACGTCATCGCTGACTCCTGGAGGATGAACACAACAGGCCACTGACCCCATCCCTGGAAGGAGGGGCCTGGTGGCAGCTGCCAAAGCCCTGACTTTGGACAGCAGGAAGCCCACCAGCTAGGCAGAAACAGGGCACGAGCAGAGCTTGGGGCAAAAGGAAGAGGCCAGCCGTTCCTTACGTGTTGCCCGTGGTTGCCGGCACCTGGGTCCACCTTTGGCGTGGTCCCTTGCTCTCGGAGCTCTCAGTGTGGTGGGAGGAATGTGCAGGGGGAGAGACAGGTGCACAGGAAAGAATGAGAAAGGGTATGAAAGAGGAGAAGGCTTCGTCTTCGAGTCCTTGGCCCTCCCTTTGATCCAACACTACACTGCCTCAGTGAGTTCACAGTTCGCGGCCCCACAACAAGAATTTCCCAGGCATTCCCTCTTCTCCACCACCACCCATGTTTCCAGGCTGTGCCGGCCCTCAGAGGGTTACAGGAGAAATACCAAACCTACCCCGGCCTTCAAAGTGCTGACGGGACCCGCGTGCGTCTGAAGCAATTAGAGAACAGTTCCAGTAGGTAGTCAATACGTGTTCGCTGGGACGTATACAATGAACAAATCAATTGATTATAATCCCAGGACAAATGTCTGTAGAAATAAAGGCATCCACAAGGGAGCAATTAATTAGCCATTAGAGAAGCTGGGGAGGCTTCCCGGAGGAGGTGGGGCTGGGTCAGGAGGGTGCTTGGACGGGCAGAGGCTGACAGAAAGCAGCTGGGGTAGGGTGTATTGATCCACTGTCACTGTTTTCCTGCCAGCCGCCACCTCTGCAGGTGACCTCAGGGACTGCTCCCTGTTGCTGTCCAGCATTCTGTACAGGGTCGGCGTGCACTCATACGTCTGGACTACATCACTGTTACTCAATCCTGGCTACCAATTCAATCTGTGGGTTGGGGGAGTGGGGGTGGTTAAACCCCAAGACCGTGGCTAGCCCCACCCATGGAGATTCTGACGAATGCATCCGGCCTTGGCACTTATCTTCTGTGAAAGTGCCCAGACAAGTCCGATGTGCCGCCAGGACGAGTGACATCCAAGTCCTGTCTGACTTATTTTCCTGGGACGGGCTCAGAGAGACGGAGCCAGCAGTCCTGGCTTACCGCATCTCACCAGCTGGATTTGAAGACTGTCGGGGCGTGTTGTGCACAGAGAAAGACTTGCCTGAGATCTGAAAATCTTGATTCTCTAGATCACCAGCTGTTTGATTTTTGGAGAATTACCCACCATCCTCCATGCTATGCACCTGATTAAGGCAAGGGTCCTACATGCAGATGTTGACAGTCCCATCCCAGCCACCAGTAAGCGAGCAGATGCGCAGGCTCACTTGCATGCCCACACATCCCACGGTGCTACAAACGTACGTAGATGCGAACGAGACTGCCACACTGAGCTGCTCAAAATCAGTCCTGAGAGCATCTGTGCACATGCAAGTTAAGCACCCTGCGCAGGAATCCCAGGCCCAGCGCTCTCGGAAAGCTTGGGAAAGCAGTCCGCTCCGTGAGGATGGGGCCAGCGGATGAGAGTGGTGCTTCTGTCTGTGGCGTAGTGGCGGGGGATGCGGGATGGTTGCCTGCGAGCGACCCGATCCCCGTCGAGGTCGGGCGCCCACGGGGAGGGCTGGGCCCACATGCTGAGGACGCCTTTGCTTCCCTTGCAGATCCGGGCGGATGGTCCTCCCCACGGCGGGGTGCAGTACGAGATGGTCTCTGTGCTCAAGGACGGGAGCCCCATCCTCAGGGACATGGCCTTCTCCATTGACCAGCGCTACCTGTACGTCATGTCGGAGAGGCAGGTGAGTGCTGACAGTGTCCCTTCTGTCCAGGGAACCCCGCGATCGTCTGTCACCTCTGTTCAGAAGCAGCTCCCTCGAACGAGAGCGAGCTCTGGGCTTGCCGCACGGGGGTCCTGTGGGAAGCAGCGGCCCTGGAGGCTTTTGCAGGGAGCCAGGGAGCGGCAGCCGGGGGGCCAGCCACTTCCCGGAGGCTTCTGTCTAGGCCACAGCCCCTGTCTCGGCGAGTGATGAACAACCCCGCAAGAACGGGCCAGACTGCACAGAGCAGCTTGGTGTGATTAGGAGGGAGATTTACTGCTCTCAGGCCCACGGAGTCTGCAGCTCAAGGGAGCCAAGGAGGTGTAAATAATCCAGGCCTCCAGGCTGGGCCCACTCCTGGGAGAGACAGATCCAAGATAGGCCCCAGAAGGAGATAAACATCTTGGCCTGAGTCTCAGCCTGGTGCAGGGTAGAGGCTGGTCAGCTCTGGGAAGCTGAAGTTTTGCCTGCAGACACGGGCAGCCCTGCAGAGCAGACTTCCGCCCTCCATGCTCTCAGGGTGTATCTGCCCTGACTGTGGGTGAGCAGAGAGCAGGCCAACGCACGCAGAGCTGTTGTTCTGGAGGGAGAAGCGGGAAGAGAGAGGATCCACGGAGATCCAGAAGGCAAGGCACAGACCTGAGCAGAGTCCACTGCGCCCACTCGGCCAGTGGCTAGCAGCTCCCCAGCAGCAGCGGTGTTCTTGTCACTTGCCCGAGCAGGATGAGGATGGCAAAGGCCAAAGCAGGAGGAGAGGCTCGTGGCTCTGTCCCAGCAGCCAAGGACGCCGAGTGGGGCCGGAGGACCAGCGAGCTTTCACAAGGGGCCTCCCCATTCCCGCGTCGTCTTTACCATATCCTGCAAGGATTCCCGCAGTCTGTGATCGGCTTCCCCCTCCCCAGAGTTCCCTCCACTGCTTTCTTTCCAAACATAAGGGATCTGAATCGAGGGATGAGGAGCGAGCTGATGGAGTGAGGCAGGGGAGAACAGGCACATGACAGCATCAAGGCAAGCAGTGATGCAGCTCTAACTGGAAAATTGCTTCTTTCGAGTAGATGACACAAATCGTATGCTAATTGCATGCAAATTACACCCAGAGCCTCTTGAACCCACCTGTCTTGCTCACCTTCTTTCATGTGGTCCCCGCAGTTGAGGCCTAAACAGGTCCAGATGGGAACTCGGTGGAGCTGGAGACAGCTCTGCTAGACCTGGAGTGGAACAGAGAGTCTTGGAAATGAACAGTGGCCCATCATCCCAATGAAATAGTCAGACATGTTTATGTGGAACAACGCACTGGAAAAATCAAAGTCAGTAGGCCGGCGCCGCGGCTCACTAGGCTAATCCTCCGCCTTGCGGCGGCGGCACACCGGGTTCTAGTCCCGGTCAGGGCGCCGGATTCTGTCCCGGTTGCCCCTCTTCCAGGCCAGCTCTCTGCTGTGGCCAGGGAGTGCAGTGGAGGATGGCCCAAGTCCTTGGGCCCTGCACCCCATGGGAGACCAGGAGAAGTACCTGGCTCCTGCCATAGATCAGCGCGGTGCGCTGGCCGCAACACGCCGGCTGTGGCGGCCATTGGAGGGTGAAGCAATGGCAAAGGAAGACCTTTCTCTCTGTCTCTCTCTCTCTCACTGTCCACTCTGCCTGTCCAAAGGGAAAAAAAAATCCAAGTCAGTGAGACTTGGTCGCTGCCATTGGTTGATTACACTCTGTTGAGGGAGAAAGACAGGTATCCAGGTAGCTATAATATTGGATTGAATTTTATAAATCATCTGCTTTTTTCTCTACTCTTTGTTTTTTAAACACAAAGGGTTTTCTTAAGCGATAAAAGTGGTAGATGTTCATCCTACAAATTCAAGCTCAGTATTGTAGAAGATAAAATAGCAATCCCACCACCTTGACATTTGGCGAATTCCACCCTGGATGCTTGGGCAGGAACACACACAGCCAGGAGGGCGGGTGGCCAGGTGTTGACCCATGTAGGTGACCAGGCCGGTGCCCTGGAGTCTGAGCTGTGTTCTCTGAGCCCAGGGAAGTGGCCAGGAAGAAGTAGCAATGGAAGTGACCAATGAGGCCTCTGTGGGACTGAGAAGGCATATCAGGGCACGTATTTTTGTTGCACCTCTTTCTCTCACATGGGATATTTTTTGAAAATGCATTCAAAATATAGCCAAAGGATAGGGGCTACTTCAGGGCTGGAGGCTGAGGAGTGGACTTCAGGGACCACACTGACCTCTTGAATCCACACCTGATGCCACCTGCCCTGGCCCAGCCAAGGGACCACATAGCTTGGGTAAGAGCATCCTCAGCTTCTGCTTCAGGGGCCCACTTGTCATTGCAATCTACACCAAACAGAAGGGGTGAGGAGCAGCTGGTCGCCATGCACAGACGTGGAGAGAATTTGAGTCAGTGCCACCGGGCTGTCTCTGCTCAAGTGAGCTATAATAGGGGAAGCTCCCTGGCCCAGGGGGAGCTGCAATCAGGAGGCAAAGCCTGGGGGCTCTGTGGTGGTGCTCTGAGGCCCGTCACCTGGATGGGCCTCACCTGTACATCCTGTAGAAATAGGTAGCTGGGTGACTTCCTGGGGCTGAGTCAGGAACAGAGCCAGGAGCAGCTCGGGAGGCCGGACCGTCAGCAGCTGGCGGGTAGCACAGGGTGTGCACAGTCACCCACGTGATGCGTGGCAGGAGAGCACTCAGGAGCCAGGGAGATGGTGCCCTGGGCCTGGGCCAGCTGTTGCTAGCTTCACCCTTCTCCTTCGTAATTTACAGGAGCTGGGAGGGGCAGATGGGAGGGGACTGCAAAATGTTCTTGGAAACTGGAATTCAAAGATAGTCAGTTTTTATTTCGATACAAGAAATCTTGAAATTTGTGCGTAGTTGTTTTTTTTTTTTCCTAAGCAGCATTTTAAAGTGGACCTCTGGAAGAACCCTTATAGCAGGATTGTCCCTGAAAGCCAATACTCTGATTCATATCCCAGCTCTCGTTTTTTTAATCTTTTAAAACTTTATTTAATTTATGTGAAAGACAGAAAGAAAGGGAGAGAGAGATTTTCCATCTGCTGGCTCACTCTTTTTTTTTTTTTTTTTAAGATTTATTTATTTACTTGACAGGTAGTTACAGAGAGGCAGGGGCAGAGAAAGGGAGAGAAAGAGAGGTTTTCCATTCGCTGGTTCACTCCCCAGTTGGCCGCAATGGCCAGAGCTGCACCGATCCGGAGCCAGGAGCCAGGAGCTTCTTCTGGGTCTCCCACACAGGTATAGGGACCCAAGAACTTGGGCCATCTTCCACTGCTTTCCCAGGCCATAGAAGAGAGCTGGATCAGAAGTGGAGCAGCCGGGACTCGAACCAGTGCCCATATGGGATGCCAGCACTGCAGGTGGCGGCTTTACCTGCTACGCCACAGCACCGGCCCCTGGCCCACTCTTTAAATGCCTGTAACAGCCAGGGTTGGGCCAGGCTGCAATGGATCCCATCTCACTTTTCTGTAGCCCCGGGGCAGGTCAGGGCCAGGTGAGGCTGAGACAGTAGCTGGGATTTCTCTTCTGCCTGCCTCACCTGCCACTCCGATGCAGGTAGAATTCTGTGTAGCCCCTTTCGGCTCTCACTCTTTGTGTGCAGATGACTCAGGAGGGTGAGGCTCTTAGGGCTGATTAGGAGGACAGTAAGTGGCAGGTGGCCCCACAGCAGGCCTCAGCCTGAGCTGGGAAGCCCTGTCCGAGTCCCAGCCTCACCTCCATCTCTGGCTGACCTGGACCCCTCGCTTCCCATCTTTAAAGACAGAGATGATAAATCTAGCCCTGAAGTCTCTCCGGGATCTGAGATCCAAGATCCTGGGCCTGCAACTCCTCCCTCCGGAGAAGGTAACAGCTACAGCACAAGAAATGGGCTTGAGGTTAGAACCCAGAGAACTTGCCAAGGGAGGGGTTCACGTGGCCCTGTGTGCTATGAGCTCCTTCCCCGAAGGCTGAGGTCTCTCTCGAGGGAGCCAGAATGCTGGTTTGGTTCTGGTTACGTGTATTCCTGCTCTGAGGTCGTGTTAGTCCATTTCTGTTACTAGCACAAAATTCCTGAGGCTGGGTAACTCACAAAGAGGAGACGTCAATGCAGCTCACAGCTGAAAGGTCAAAGGGCCTGGCCCAGGCTCTGGGCAGAGCCCCCTGGCTGCATTGTGGGGTGGTGGGTGGCACCATGGAGGGAGCACACTCGCAGAGAGATTGTGTGGCGGGGGGCACCGTGGAGGGAGCACACTCGCAGAGAGATTGCATGTCAGGGGGCACCATGGAGGGAGCACACTTGCAGAGAGATTGTGTGGCGAGACAGAAACCACAGCAGCCAGGAAGTGACCAGACTCACTCTTCCGTGGCAACCCTCTTGCAGGAACCAACAAGGGTTCCACAGAACCCACATGAGTTCCTCCCAAGGGCAGTGGCCCCCATGACCTCGGCGTTTCTCATTTGCCCTCACCTCTGAAAGGTTCCCCCACTTCCCACAGCCACCACGCTGGGGACCAAGCTCTCAGCACGTGAACTCCGGGGACACGTGCGAACCAGAGCCGAACCTGGGCACTGGGCAGCTGAAGACGGCAGAGCTCTCTCAATGTGCTTTGACCTTGCAAGGCATCATGGGAACGGAGTTTCCATCACTCCACTGGGTGGCAGATCTCTGGGCAGCCTACTCTCGTGTCTGCCTTCACGCTGGCCCCAGCACGGGCCTCTCTGCTCCCAGACCCTCCCCCAAACACATGGCACCCATTACATCCTTGGGGCCACGTGAGCATAGAACCAAGTCCCTGGTCTCATTCTTTGCCTGGACAGATTTTCATCTCCCTACAGAGGTAGAACAATCCTATAGAGCCTCTCTCTCTCTCTGTCTCTCTCTCTCCCCCCTTCCCTCTCTTCCTCTTCTCTCTCTCTCTCTTTCCCTCTCTCCCTCTCTCAATCTATCAATTAAATGTAATTAAGCAATGGGACTAGTAAGAAGTTTTG